CCCCACACGCCATGGGAACAGCTTCCCTGGCCGCCTCGGCCCCCGTCCTCCCTCTCGCCGGCTCCGGCTCCTTTTGTTCGCCCCTAACCGCATCGCGGCGGCCCCACCCCAGAACTGATCCCTTTACCATCAACTGCACAAGCTCTACTGCTGGATAAAAAGAGCCATATAACCTCCAAGCTTTATTGCTCCTATCTCCCAGCTGGAAGCATAGGCAGCCTACACTGCTGGGACTCCCTCATTATCTGAGATGAATATACATCCCATTTCCCCCATCCACCCAGAGAAGTGTGCATTTTTTTGCCCTTGGAGACTCACTTGGAATACACACAGGAGCTCTCCCACTCCATTTTCCTGTCTTCAGACAAGTCCTCCTGCTGCTACCAAGCCGGCGGTAGAAAGGAGAAATGCACTCATACTGAAGCTGAGTGTGCAGATGCTGGTACCCTGGGGGCAGGTCTCCGAATGGCAGTGCTGGCTTCTTGGTGGGGTACATTTCAAGCTTTTGCTTGCTGAATGCAGATGAGTAAAGTTGATGCAAAGGTGTTTCCCTGTTCCAAGGCAAAAGAACACGAGGTAATAATAATAATATTATAAAAGTGTTAATATTAATATTATTAAAATATTATAAAAACTATTACCATAGCTTTATCACCAGCTGCGTTAGGTCTCATTTAAAAGCATATGAAGCTTGCTTGTGAAAGAATAAGGCAAAAATACTGTTCCAACAGTTTAGCAATACTCCCATTCACATCCCAGCTATTTTATTTACATACATATGTAGACATACATAAACGCACATACGTTTATGTATTTTCTATTTGCATCTTTTTTTTTTTTTCATTTTACAGTTTCTGGATTGCAACTAGTTGCCTCTGAACGTGGAAGTTTTTGCCATTCACAAAAAGGACTGAGATACCACGTTTTTAAATGAAGAAATTACACTGGAAGTTGGCATTGCCATAATTAATTCTCACTAGAGAGGAGTTAGGCACATCTTTTCTCTAGTGAACATTTTAATAGGCTTTATTAGGAATCGATTCAGATTAAATCATGTTGATAAAGTTGCCTGATTTAGCAATTAACAGAGATAATTGCCTCACCACAGAGATTTCATAATTGCAATAATCACTAAGCCTCCATTTAGAAATTGTACTGATTAGCTGAAACATGGTACATGATTAAAAAAATAAATATATGCACCAGCCTAGATATGGACCATAAGCTTGACTACAGTCATATTAAATCTTCATCACTTAGAGCGTGTCCCTTGCTCTAATGCTCAAAAGCACATATCTACAGAAAAAAAACTATTTACGTCTGAAAA